AATAAAATAAACGTCAATCCTGGAACAACTATGTATCCAAAATCAAATCCCGCCCACCCATGTCCAAGTTCTGGAACATGATTCAAAAGATTAAGGGCAAAGAATCAAAATCTGGAGTTCACCATCTCAAAGATGGGAATACACCTTTAACTAAGAAATCTGAAATTGCCAATAAACTTGGTGACACTTTGGCAAATCATTCCTCATCATCAAACTATAATCCTCAATTTCAGAGGTTTTAAAAACAGCAGGTAAAGAAAAGAGTTAATTTTAACTCTGATAATGGTGAGGACTATAACGAAACATTTTCGCTCCATGAATTACATATTGCCCCTGGGCAATCTCATGACACTGCAGCAGGAGCCGACAACATTCATTATTTTTTCGTCATGTAACTGTCATGATATCTGCAGACCATATCAGGTGTCACATAGACACCCTAGGGAGTGCAGAGTCTATTGCAAGACAGAAACGTCAGTCACATGTGTATGATCCACGGACATGGACCACAGCCTTAACCCTACGCCTCATACTCATTACAAGTCGTTGAATGCTTCTCTGAGGCAAACGGATCCATTCTTCATGAATTCCGGCTTCAAGTCCAGCAAGATTTTGAACTGGGGGATCACTATGTCTGATTCATCGGCTCAATCGGATTAAGATCCGGACTACAGGCCGCCAAGGAAGAGTGGCAATAGCTTCTTGACGCAAATAAGCCAAAACTGCCCGAGATCTGTGTGGACTAGCATTGTCGTCCATGTAAACAGGTCTTGTCTGAAGAGGATGGTTGTCAAAATAAAGGACTACCACTGGACGAAAAACGGCATCTTGGTATTGTTGGCCATTCAGGTTTCCACGAATTGTCACCAGCGGAAGTTTGCAGCCGAAGGAAATACAACCCCATATTATGACAGACCCCCCCGCCACATGCTAAGGTCTTCTGGATGTTCCTTGGTGCAAAACGAGTGTTACATTGCCTCCAAACACGTATTCGACCATCAACAGTTCGTAGCAGCATTCGACACTCGTCAGACCAATGGATCCTTCTCCAGTTGGCAAGTTCCATCGACTACGGCATGACACCATATCAGACGATTCCGCATGTGGCTCTCAGTCAAGTGAGGACGTTTTACTTGTCTTCTGGCATTATAACCAGCCGGTCTGAGGCGATGCCTTACGGTCATCGCCGAGAGTCTGCGATGGGTAATCCACTGCAGTCTTAAGTCTGTTGAAGTGGCAAATGGATTTCATCTGACTATCTTTAAAAGACGTCTATCCTCTCTGATAGAGGTATTTCTTGGCCTACCAGACCTGTGCCTGTCTTTGACATCATTGGTTTGACCATGTTTGACAATCAAACGAGTGATAACACTGTCATGACGACCCATTTGTCTTGCAATGGCCCTGCATGACATGCCAGCATTTTTCATGCCTATCACTTGCCATCATTCAGCGTTCGCTAACTTTCTCCTCACCATGGCTGATTTTCAACCTCTATTGGAAGGGGAATCTCACATAGGAGCAAAATGTAACCACTATCTGAAACTTGAATTTCACTATTTATAGGGTAGGGGAACTGCAGCAACACGTAAAAGCACACTTTCCTTGTGGTATCTGGACAAATTTGGGTTCATGAAACTATGGAAGCCTAATTCAGTCATACATCATCATATTTCGTATTTCTGATTCCAAATCATGAAATCAAGAGACTATGAATATGGTGCGCTTAACTTTTGTGCATGTGTATACATTTTATGGACAACCGGACATTTCCCTCCTTCGTGGCACATCACCATTATTATTCCTGTTCCATAGCCTGGACAGGTTCATACAAATCCACTCGATTACCGTTCAATATAATTAACTAACTGTGTTTGTAAAACCAAAGAGTGCATGGTCAACAATTGATTTAGCCTGGTACTTGGAGACCAATAACCTCCTGAGTGACATCCAGTGTTGTTTCCGAAAAAACAGAAGTACCATTGACCATTTGGTGCGATTAGAATCATTTACTAAAAAATCCATTTTCAACAAACAACATACTGTATCAATCTTTTTCGATCTAGAATAGGCATATGGTACAACGTGGAAACGTGGTATTTTAAATGATTTGCATAAATTTGGATTGAGGAGCAGTTAACCTTAGTTCATATCTCAATTTTTAAACAATACACAATTTCAAATACGAATGGGCTCTACCCTGTCTGATCATTTTGATCATGATCACAGCATCCATCGAGGCATCGTGCTATCAGTCAGACTTCTCAGCATTAAATTAATAGTCTCACTACAGTATTTAACAATAACGTTGATGATTCACTTTTTGTGACAGCTACAGCTCTGTCTTAACAAAATTCAAAAATGGGCGAATGAAACCAGCTTCAAATGTTCTAAATCCACTTTTGTCTTAAATACTAACCACACAAGGATCATATGTGCCTCAGATTTGATCGTCATCTCACATTCTTGCCACACATCAAATATCTCAAGGCAAAGTTCCTGAAAGCTCTCGACTTGTTAAACGTCGTTTCAAATTCCGAGTGGAGAGGGGATCAGAAAACCCTCCTTCATCACTTGTACAGATCGTTAATACACTCCAAACTAGACTCTCTTTCCATTTTCTATGGTGGAGCTTGCAGAAACAATTTAGAAAAATTATATACAATACATCCTCAAGACCTAAGGCTCTGTCTTGGAGGTTTTAGGACCTCTCCCGTTTGTGTGTGGAGCCTGATAAACCTTCACTCGAACAGCGCCACATTAAACTTTTACTGCAATACATTACTAAATTGCATTCAAATAAATCAAATCCGGCAGACAATTGCGTTTTCCACCCTCAATATTAAAGCATGTTTCGAAATCATTCCAACTTGATTCAACCACTTGATTCAACATCACTGCAGCTAAAATAGATCTAAATATTACATCGCCTTCCCGACTTCTGTCTTCTCCTCCCTGGCAGATGGTGAAGCCATCAGTAGACCCCACTCTAAAAACTAATCCTTTAGTACAATCATATAATCAATTACGATGAAAATTAATTCTTACAGATCCATTTTCACAGACGGGTCCAAGGATGGTGGCAAAGTTGCAAGTTGCAAGTGCCACCATCATTGGATCCAGAACGGTCTCCGCAAGAATGCCAGATACTAGCTCTATTTTTACTGCTGAGGCAAAAGCTATACTAACAGCTTTGATCTACATGAAACATAAAAAAACAATCTAAAAATGTCATCATCTTCTCTCATTTGTTGTCTTGCCTTCAGGCACTTAAAAGTGTCTAATGATATCACCCTATTATAAGAGACATTTTGGAACTATTTAATGAACTTTCTACTGGCCAATGTGACATCGTCTTTTGCTGGTTACCAAGTCAAGTAGGCATAACAGGTAACTCAAAAGCCGATTGTGCAGCTAAAGCAGCTCTTGACAAACCGTTACACTCGGATCTCATGCAAAAGAGGTGGGACACCCAGGTAGGAATATATTTCACGAATTAAAACCAACAATCGGTCATACCTACTCGGGTTGTCAGTCAAAACATAACGAGGTCGTTTTTCGACGATCGGTTTGGCCACTATCGGTTTACCCATGAATATCTGTTGACCATGAAAGGTCAACCATCAAGCATATATTGCTTGACTATGTGAACTCTGCAATCGGAAGGGATTCACATTATCAAAGAATAAATCTGAAAGATCTCTTTTCCCGTGTCAGGAGGCATCTCTGAGAAAAGCGTCTGTATGATAAATTTTAAATATTTATGTGAATAATTGAATGCTTGTTCTTAAATTTGGTGTGATGCTCCTATCAACTGACATTATTGTAGACTCTGGAGGTGAAAGTGTCGTTAGGAGGTTAAAGTATTGTAAAATTATTGTCCCCCTGTGTGACACAAAATCCTATCATAATCGATGTAACTATCATCAACCAGTGTTTTTAAGCCAACTCATTGCTGAGTATTTTTTTAATATTGGCTAGTATTGTGCACAACCACCAGTAGCTATTGTGATGACATAAATCCTGCTGGCGTATCATGCATAAGTTGAGGTACTATAAGTCCCCATGATCCCCAGCGAGGTGGCCTACCTTTGGTTTCTGGTGGCCTATAGCCCGCGTTTTAAAACTGTACACATGATATCATCAATTGTTTTTAAACATAACTTTGCATACATGACTAAATGGTGAATATATTAACTTGGTCTCGTCGCTATATGGCTGAAATAATGCCGATGCTCACTTACTCACCCTCTAGAAACAATGTTACTTGTTTCATAGATGTCAATACGTTTGTCCTCAGTGAGTGAGTGAGTTGGGTTTCACGTTGCTTTTAACAATATCGCGGCGTGTCAGCTTAATGTGGGAGAAAGCCCGAAGTGATGCAGGTCTCAGAAGTTTACCACTTCGGTGAAACCCACAAGCACGGGCATGGTGCTGACAAACCTAGAAACATAAAGGGGGCGAACCCGGATTCGAACCCACAATCATCGGTTTCTGGCGTGCCCAAGGGACGCAACTCTGCACAGCGAATCGCGGCGCCTAAGACGACTGGGCCACCTGTGACCCCTTGTCCTCAGTATATATGCAGAATATATTTGAATAGCCATGCTGAGAGCAATGTCATGCTGAGTTGTTCTTTTTGCTTTGTCGTTGCTTGTCATCCCTATTTCGTTTGTGGCTGTATCGCAATATTGTATAGTGATATCACACTTTTGTATCAAACTTTCACCTACAGACGATGTAGCGATGGCCCCTCTTTGCCACCATACACCGTTTAGTTGTTACTTGTTATTTAGGTTCGTATTAAAAAGAGAGAACACACAGTTGTTTATGAACTCCATGATTAATATCTACCCAACCTTAGCTGTGCCAGTAAAGACATCCTTGATTTCTGTCACGTAATATTGGGATGAATAATAATCTATGCATTATGTATATTTTACAAACTATGGATATATGTACATACATCAGAAAATTTTATAAAATATTTCCCTTTCAAGTGTCTCCAGCAACATAATCAGCAATAGAGACCTCCATGACAGAGCAGAAAAGTACAAACATATAAGCGGAGAGAGGTGGATTGTTCTCACGACGATCTCCTACCCAACTCCTGATGTCAAGTTCCTAGCCAACATAACTGGTTGGAAAGTGGTTGTGGTTGGCGATAAAAAGACACCTAGAGATTGGGAGTAAGTATTTTCTTCCACTTAGCCATACTTCAAGATACTGTAACTTCAAATCTTTACAGATGTTAAACGTTTTACATGATTCTAATGTTGGTAATTTCTTCACAGATTCCCCAACTGCATATATTTAAGTTTAGAGGGTCAACAGAAATTGCCTTTTGAGACTGTGGGTTATCTTCCTCTAAACAGCTACGCAAGAAAAACTGCAGGATATCTGTATGCAATTTCTCAAGGGGCGCGAATAGTATACGAGACTGATGATGACAATCGACCACAAGACTTACTTAACAATTTCGTCCAAGAAAGAACAATGTGGGGACTGATATATAAAGGAGGACCATTTTTCAATCCATACCGACATTTTGGACAACCAACATTGTGGCCAAGAGGCTACCCTCTTAGCTCTGTTGGAGAGAATGTCTCCACGGAATATGTACTGAATCACTGGAAAACCCCATCTATTCAACAGGGTGTGGTCAATGGTGACCCAGATATGGATGCCATTTTCAGATTAACCCGAAAACAAACCCATTCTCAACTAAATGTGACCTTTGATGACCGGGCTCCACCAGCAATTGTCCCAGCTGGGGTGTTCTCACCCTTTAATTCCCAGAATACCCTTTTCCTGTATGATGCATTATGGGCACTACTGATTCCAACTACAACAACGTTCCGAGTGTCTGACATCTGGAGAGGCTACTGGGCTCAGAGGCTTCTGTGGGAGATGGGAGGAAACCTGGGATTCTTTCCACCAAATGCCTTTCAGAAAAGGAATTCCCATTCCTACCTCGGGGATGCTGTAAATGAAAAGGATTTGTATTTCCAAACAGAACGTCTTGTAGATTTTCTTCGCATGTGGACATGTGAACCAGATAAGACATTCTTTGCCTGTGTTACTAAGCTGTCAATAGATATGGCACATGAGAACTTTTGGAAGGCAGCTGATGCTGACCTGACTTCTCTCTGGATCAAGGACCTCAAAGCTCTGGGATACAAAGAACCAGAACGAATTCCATTTGGTTTGCTTCAAAACGGTGTTCAAGTCACGATAGATTCAAAGTTGCCAAACCAAAGACGCCTGACAAATCAACAGGTCAGTCTCACTTTCTGGGCAGCTGAACAGACACCACCTTTAATATATTCCACAGATAAAGTATCACCTGAAGGTGTGTCACACATTAGTCAAATAGCTTCATATTGTGGCAATCATTCGTTTAGCACGTTAGATCTGAATGCTTTCAAAAGAACCATAACATATCCTAATCTCTTATTAATTGTAGTCTTCAACTTCCCTCACTATGAGAACCTCGCGTTTCTTGAGACAATGTACAGCTTTCACTTCCCACACATTGTCTATTGTGGAACCAACAAAGATCAATTTCAAAACTACACTAAGCTTCTACTCAAGAATGTGACCTTTATTGAGGTTGATATTGGTGGTGGATGGTTTGCCCAGAACTGTCTGATTCAAGCCATGAAAATGCAGTATACTGTTGATGGATATTTGTACATTGGTGACGACGTCCTGCTTAATATTTGGAACATTCCTATCCTTCCTTTAGACAGACTCTGGCTTTTTAACTCTTCGGTTTTGCAACCGTCTGACAAAACGAATTGGATGTGGTTTTCAAATCCTAAAGTTGGTTTAAAAACCTACCAGGCTGCTCTTGCAGCTTTGAAATTGTTAGATGCACATAAATATAAGATTTTCAAACAAATGATTTCGAGAAATTCAGGAAAGAATGATTCACTATTTTTTGGTGGCGCAGACATTGCTTATGTTCCTAATAAATACAAAGATGATGTCCTGTTTTTCATGGAACATTTTTCAAAATTCAATCTATTTGTTGAGATAATATTCCACACAGTGTTTGGAGGTACTGAGAAGTGGGATAATGTGTTCAGAATGCCGGGAACGTATTTATGGTCTGCTGGGGAAAGGGACCATATAGAAAAATATTACAACAAGAATGACGTTTTTCTTCACCCTGTTAAAATATCTAAATTAATTTCTGTGCCCAAAGGAAGAAGGTTTTTCTGTGAAAACTTCCTGCCTCTAACGTTATATACTGAACCGCAAAAGAAACATCACACCTAGTAACATTGCATGGAAAGTTGTCATTTAAATATCTGGGTAATTTTGGTCAAAGTTTTTAAAATTCAACATTACTTTGTCCGGAAAAATGAAATTTGATGATAAAAAACAAAGCAGATGACAATAAAACCGATCGCCCAAACGCATCACGGCAACGGCCATGGTAACCCGACGCAACTGAGTTCCATGCAAATTGAAATGCACATGCTTTCCCCCATTTCTTGCCCTATAAAAATCCACCCAGATCGGATAACATTCATTCGTTATTGAATTGCTAACACATGCCAAGATTGACAAGAAATCAGCGACACCAGGCCCTTGGACGATTGCAAGCTGGACAAACCGCCCGGCAAGTAGCCTATGTATTCCAAGTCCATATAAGGACCATATACAGGTTCCAGCAACGGTACCAGACCACCAGCACTACGGATGACCAACCACGTAGTGGAAGACCATGGGTTATCACCCGACGTCAGGATCGTCAGATTGTGCGACAGCATCTTCAAGATCGCTTTGTTAATGCTGCGGAAACTGCTCGACAGACTATGGGGACACACCAGCGACACATTAGTGTGGATACCGTGCGTCGAGATTGACGAGGAGAAACTTCCACTGCCACAGGCCACACAGAGGACCCAATCTGACACTCCATCATCGCCGGGACCGTCTTCAGTGGGCAACACAGCACCAGCATTGGCGCCACCAGCAGTGGAGAAGAGTCCTCTTCTAAGACAAGAGCCGTTGCTGCATCTCAACAGCAGATGGCAGAGAGAGAGAAAGAGAGTCTGGCGACGCCGTGGGGAACGTTATTCGGATGCTTGTGTTGTTGAGAGAGACTCGTGGGGTGGTCCGAGCATCATGATGTGGGGTGGATTTGGTCCTGCACAGAAGGTCGGCCCTGTGGTTGCCTTCAACAACCGCGTCATCTGTTCCATATATCGATGTCGGATAGTGTGTGAGTGAATTTTGGTTGGTTTATGTCACTTTGAACAGGATTGTCAGTTGATGTTGGCTTGTAATGTCAGCTCAAAATGACGCTGGTCGAAGGCGTTTTCCACTTTCACACTCACCGTTAAAGAATATGATGAATGTTCATTATGTAATGTTATTTCCATAATTAATACAGCATAGAGATAGAGAGTTTAATATGTTTTAACAACCGACAGATGAGACGTTGATCAAACTACTCCATAATATTGTCAATATATCACCCACACTATTCACAATATGATGAGATAAATGACAGTTGAGTTGTCAAAAATGTGTGTCTTTCGGCTTTGCAATTCTTTGTAAAGGAGGTTTAGTAAAAATCCTGTAGCCATTGTACATACTGAGTGTAATTTGCAGATCGGATGTATGTTTTGTAGTGTTAACAGTTAAGATACATAAGGAATGTTTTATTCAGATGAATATTTTATACATTGTTACCGTATATTGATATAGTATCTATAAGTGTGATTATCTCTTAAGATTATATGAAACTGTTTACCTGAATAAATATAGATGTGTCTGTGTGTCATGTTTGTTACGTGAAAAAATGTTCAAATCGTATGTTGTAAAACGAATGTGGGTGTGTGCTGCAATCTGTTTGAAAAGCTTGTTACGTGAAATTTGACCCAGGACATTTTCTCGATCAGTAACAAATACACAGTTACATCCGCAAATGTGACAACAAAGAACACATCCAACAAGCCAGATTCCGTAGTTTTTCATCCAAAATACATATGGTGGCTTGATACACTTGGGTCTTTGACGTGTACTACTTCAGCAAAACCCACGAGCACGGGCATTGACAAACCTAGAAACAAAATCGAGGCGAACCGGGAAGAATCGAACCCACAATCATAGATTTCTGGTGTGCCCAAGGGACGCAACTCTGCACAGCAAATCGCGGCGCCCTAGACGACTGGGCCACCCGTGTTCCCACCGGCGATATGAGCTAACACAACGAGACAGAAAATAATTATTAATGAGTACATTTCTACATTTGCAGGTTTAATCGATTAACCTACATATTCTCACAGACGTTGTTGACACTTCAATGTTTGATCAATGTTTGAGTGTGGTGCAGGTGACATATCTCACATAATGCCTCACACGATGGGTGGTTGTGAAAAGTAGACCCGTAACAGTTTGTAGTATTAAGTACAATACTTTCCATTCTGCATTTGAACCAAATACAACACCAGGCAACATTTGTACAGGCATCAGAGTGTCCTGGCATTCTCTGTTGAAATGGACAGAAGTGGTTACCGCGCTGTTTCTCCAACTGAAAGGGTTCTCCCTAACCAACACGGTGTCAACTTCAGGGGATGATGCACCACCCTTTATCACTGTTAAGAGGCGGGCAGCAGAGTTAAAGAGAGGAAAGAGAGAGATTTAAAGATTATCCAAGATCAGGAAGACCTTCAACTGCCGACACTAAGGAAAATATTGATAATGAGTGAGTGAGTTACGATTTAAAGTCACATCGGCAATATTTCAGTGACTCAGTTTTCAGATTTCAGTTAGTGACTAACTCAAGTTATACATTAAAACATACAGACATTAAAATCTGTCGACAAAGGACAGTACAATCACTAAACTATCACAGATATAGATTTAAAACTAGCATGACTATTCTCAACAATAGATTATAAAATTGGGCTAGAGATCACCAGCAACCAAAGTTAGGCCACCACACTAGGGACCATGGGGACTTACGGTACATCTGCTTCCTGCATGGTACCAAGAATTAAACGAGAAAATTTATATTAAACAGATCCTGTATGTATGAATCCTGAAAATAGTTATCCCTTGTTGTGAATGATTGCCGACGCACCACATGTCACAGAGCCAAAAGAGTAGGAGGCATCTCTCATGAGAGAGTTGAGAACATTCAGTGAAATGAACTGACAGAGGTTTCAGCATGTTGGGTTCCAAGACTTCTGACTCCAGATCAGAAAGTATTTTAAAGCAGACACAGCTGATTTCTTTTTAGTGATGTGTAGCCATGGATGGGTTTAGACATTGTATTTGTAGAAGACAACAGGCCAATAATACATTAATATTCTATTGATTTCTGTAAAAAATAGGCATTAAGGTGATTCTCACTGTTGCTGAGATCACACGGAGATTAGTGGAATATGACAAGGGGTACCTTCTTCTTATATTGGAATATAGTTGTCATGTAGTCATCCATATTCATCTTCAATATTTACAGTAACATTACGGAACAGAAATCGCAGAGCCGTTCGTTATAATTGATGTAACAGTGTCTCCCAAGCTCGCCATTTAAAGGAAATCGGGTGGGTGGGAATGCTCGCTGACTTGGTTGATGTATGTCATCGTGTCCAGAAGGCGAGGATCGATGCTCAAGATGTCAATCACTGGATTGTCTGGTCCATACTCGATTATTTACAGACCGCAATAATATAGCTGGAATATTGCTGAGTGCGTCGTAAAGCAACAAACGAACCAACCAACCCAATTGCGTGGATCGATGCTCATGATGTCAATCACTGGATTGTCTTGTCAAGATTCGATTATTTACAAACCGCCGTTATATATACCTGAGTGCGGCGTTAAACGACCAACAAGCAAACAAACATCAGCAAACATAAGTGTAATAAGGTGCATGTGAGGAAGCTAATCAAAGTAGGGCTTGGGATCGTGCCGTCACATCGCCATACGTGTATCTGCAAAGTACTCGACCTTCACAGTGTCTTTTTAAAAAAATAACCATCTGCACTTGTTGAGGTCACAATGGTATCTTAACTTAATCACTTGCTCGAAGTGTTTGTTGACATGTGTGTGATAGATAACATGATTTTAAATGATTTTGTGTCAGAATGATCGGTCGTTAAAGACAAAAGTTTCCTGTTGGTCAGAGGCCATTTTGCGTCATATATTAATCTACTTTAAAGAGTTTTTCTTCACTAAAATTTTCACAATGCGGCTCATACATCGTCGACGTCACGTTAAACAACAAATATTTGTTTGTTTGTTTGTTGATTAACGCCGCACTCAGCAATATTCCAGCTATATGACGGCGGTCTGTAAATAATCGAGTCTGGACCAGACAATTCAGTGATTGATATCATGAGCATCGATGGCATGCATTAACCAAGTCAGCGAGCCTGACCACCCGATCCCGTTAGTCGCCTCTAACGACAAACATGGGTTGCTGAAGACCAATTTTACCCCGGATCTTCACGGGTCTAAACAACAAATAAGAAGTAAGAAATTATCGGTGTGAATGTTTTGTACTCACTCAACAATATTCCCACCAGTGGTCTAAATAATCGACCAAAGTCGCCTTAGTTGACTTCCAGTAACTAAAGGCATGCCAAATGATCTGTGCCATCGGGGCACGGTAATTCAACCAGCCAAGTCACCGAGCCCGACCATCTATCTTTATATGTAAGTATTATACGAAGATCCTACAGGGTGACCCTCAAGGGTATAATTGCCGTAAAAGGCGACCATGCTTGTCGTAAAAGGTGACCATGCTTGTCGTAAAAGGTGACAATGCTTGTCGTAAAAGGTGACTATGCTTGCCGTAAAAGGTGACCATGCTTGTCGTAAAAGGTGACTATGCTTGCCGTAAAAGGTGACCATGCTTGTCGTAAAAGGTGACTATGCTTGTCGTAAAAGGTGACCATGCTTGTCGTAAAAGGTGACTATGCTTGTCGTAAAAGGCGACCATGCTTGTCGAAAAAGGTGACTATGCTTGTCGAAAAAGGTGACTATGCTTGTCGTAAAAGGCGACTAACGGGATCGGGTGGTCAGGCTCTCTGACTTGGTTGATGCATGTCATCGATCCCAATTGCGTGGATCGATGCTCATAATATCAATCACTGGATTGTCTGGTCCAGACTCGATTATTTACAGACCTCCGTCATATAGCTGGAATATTTCTGAAAGCGGCGTTAAACAACAAACCAACCAACCAACCAACTCTCAAGGGTAACAGGTTGGTGTTGTCGCATTGTGTGACCTTGGTAATCGTATATCACCGTACCATGACGTCGTGGACGATTGCGCATGCTACCATCCACTGGTTTTGGATAGTCGAACTCTGACTCGGGTCA